CTCCTTCATTGCAGTATCTCTCCAAGTGAGTGCCAGCCAGTGCATAACGGTGCCGTTTCTGTACTTCGGTTAGTCGATGTGGAACCCAGCGGGAAGCAATTTTCCTCATATTGAGAGATTTCTTCATTATGGGCCACAGCGTTTGATGAATCAGACCAACCTCTAAGCATAATTCTCGGACAGTCCATCGGCGGCCTATGGTAAGGAGACAGCTCAAGATGTCAATTTGCTCTTGAGGAATGGAGGGCCGACCTGTGCGTTGCAAATCGCAGTCTCATTCCGACCTGAACGAAATGCTCGAACCCATCGTGTTACTGTCCTATACGGTAAAGCATTTGTGCCACAGGCTTCCACTAATCCTCGATAGCATTCTGTTGCATTTTTATCACGGGCAACCACGACCGCTGATCACCTTTTTGAAAACATGCTTTAAAGCGATAGAAACGAAACTCCTCACTTTAACGCCACACAACAACTACCTTCTAGGCATATCGACTGTTTTTTACACTCTACACATCGACAACAGCGCCACCTCACCGCTCCCATATCCTGTTTGCGCATGCCCGCCTTTCTGCGAGTTTCAAGGTTAAGTTGCCATTATTTAATTTACAACCCCGTATGATGAAGTATATGTATTCTCCACTGAATCCGAATTTTATCTCTTTCAAGATAACCTTTAATTTTTCATATTGTTGTAATATCCTAGCTAAATTAGAATTCTGTGAAATCTAGAATACTGAAGAACTGTATAGCGACTATTCGCTGAGTACTTGTAAATATTAACTTCAGAGAAGTATTAAAATACGCTTTTATTCTAACTCAAAATATATTTACGATTCGCCCCTCTTGGGCGTACAAGAAACCTCTACTTGGGCTTCAACTCAAAATAGAATACATAAAATTAAACTAATGCTAGATAAATTTAATCAGCCAAAGCTGCACGGAAACAAACTCGTGGATTTGGCCCGTAACTAAGGATAACCAGCGTGTGCTAGCAGACACGTATTAAGTGCGGCTGTAGCCTAGCAAGCTTAAACTAATGTCAGCAAAATGGCCGAAAGGCAGAACACGCTCTCCTACGAAATAACTCAGAGACCTTAGGATAATGGTGTTTGGTGTTGGTGTATTTAATTATGGCAAAGCACACTAGGGCTATCTGCCTAAGAGGAGGGATGCCTTTCGTGGAGGACTTTCTAAGGGAAACTGGCTCGTATACACGTTACACATGGGGAAAACCATGAAAACGCCCCTGCAGCCAGCCCGTTCGCGGGATTCGAACCTCGGACCGAACTACCAGTGTTCAGCGTCTTTACCGCTCGGCCGCTGGTGGGCTTACCTTAGGATAAACACTCGTTTCTACCTTACTTGCATAAATCGCAATACTGAAAACTCATTCCGGCAGGGAGCTGTAGGTAAAAAAAATTAGGAGATATAGGAAAACCTTGTACCAAAATAAAAAAAATCAGAAAAATAAAACCCTTCACTGTGAAGGGCGAACCCGAACGTTACTGTCTAGAAGCGTATACAGAAGGTAAAGAAAACACTGCTCTGCAAAATGATTTTAGAAGTAACTAAAAATAAATGCACGCTTTTGAATAAAATGAATCAACAGTATGGGAATAATACACACTAGGTAAGCTAATCAGCGGCTGACCGCATAAAATAAAACCTAGAGCACTCATACTTAACTCTTTGAGGGGGAGGAAAAGGCAATTAACTTTTTCAGCAAAACTCTTGTTTTTATTTACTATATCAGGTGTTAAAATTAAATTATTTGCGACAATTACACATATTTTGTTCAAGACGCGTGAAAAAAATGACCACTTCTGGTGGTTAGTGTCAGTGACCGTCGCCCACAAAACACATCCCTACAAATCAGTCTCTATGGTACTCATGGAAACAGTTTTTTTTTTTCCAAACAGAGTGCAACTTTGCATATGGTGCATTCCCACACTGTTCGTACAGGCGCTTTCTTGGTGCTGCAGAGTGCACATCGTCGTGATGTTGTCTTCGATGGGCTGATGCTTATTTTCTTAAAGACGAATTGCTGCATCAACTACTGCCTTATGTTTCTTGATTGCTATCTAGTGAGCTACAATGGAACTTCAGAAAAGGTCAGTCTTGAAAATCACTCACGCGAGGTAGTAAGACATTCAATAGAAAAGATGGTTACTGTAGGTAACCACCGCCCTTCAATGAGTTCGGACCCCGAAGACGCTGCAAGTGTATTTTCGTGGTGTTTCGTCATGTGTAATGTAAATACGAGCCAACTTCCCTTAAGACGTCCTCACAAAGACGTCTTATCCTTTAGGCAGGTGCCCTTGTATGCTTTCCATATTTAATTAAACAAAAAAAAAAAAAAAAAAAAAAGAAACACATCATCCAGAATGAAGAATGAATTGACTCTGGCATTCAGTTTTTGCATTTATAAATCTGTTGTCACCTTTCACGTATTCTTTCGTAGGATGTGCACAAAATCACCTTAAACAAGACCGACTAGCACTCATACCTTTTCGAGAAAGGAGAATTCTCCCACACTGTATTTCCTTCAAAAGTGGTAAGTCAAAAGTCGTGAAGTGTGATTACGACATCCTTTGCGATAACTGCAAAATGCTCTTTTTTGCTTAAAAACAAATGCCATTAAAATGATTAATGTAGTGCTGAATTGTAATTGCATTTATTACACAATTAAAAATAATACTCAGCGAAAATGTTTCTCTTTATAATGTTGTTATTTTAAATAGAAATTTGTCGCTAGAATTTTCCTATAAAGTATTACTAGTCTCATTAACAGTCACCAATGACAGTCGAGACTTGGATTGGAAAAATTGTCTAATTTATTAGCGCAAAATTTACTAAAGGGAGGGCCATCTCCTAAGGTAGAATGTCTTTGCGGAAAAATGTCCCAAAGGGAAACTCTCTTCTTTTTGTTACACATAGGTATCTTTATATTACACATAGATCATAAAAATCCCATATAGCTAGTCTGTTCACTAGATATTTAATTTAGAGTAAACTACCAGTATTTAACGCTTAAATTTACTCGCTCATGACCGGAAAGGATTAATTGATTGCGATAAACATATAAGGGTTATTCTCTTATGAAGAAAGATACTTTCGTGGAGAAAAAGGAGGAGATTCAAAAAATGGAGGAGTTTCAAAAGAAGTTGGCATGGATTTAAACTATACATCACTTAATTCACTAAAGCTCAGACAGCCACGCGTTTAAATGCAGGACTTCAACCTGGTATATAGCCGTGCGAGAATCCCAAACAAATAAATACCAATTCAGAAGTCAAAAAACAAAAATTGTCTTAAATTGTGTCTTAAATAAATACCAGTTAAATCTAATTCAAACAGTCGCCGATTTTCAGAGATTATTCCAACATTGGCCAAGTGGATAAGACGGTTGAGAACTGGTAGTTCGATACAGGTTAAAATACCAGTGAAAGGGCTCGTTGAACAGGTGTTTTCGGGATTTTTCCCATGTATTTGATGAATCACTAGCAGTTCGTTCGCTATTCGCTCCTGACAGGATCTAAAGCGGACGTTTGCCTTTGGTCGTCTTTCATCAACACGGTGTTTAACATATTGAAAACTAATTATCTGATCAAGCATCAGCCCGTTCTCCCGGAATTGAACCCCAGACCGAATTACTAATATTTAGCGACTTTGCTCGGCCGCTGGTAGGCGCACGTTCAAAAAGTAATTTAACTAATATACATATTACAAAAAGTAATTTAGCTAATAAACAAAAAGCAATTTTACTACTAATACACTAAAATAATATAATTTTTTAATTATTTCAAAAGTAATTTAAACTAATATACATTAATATCTAAAGATGTATGTATCTTTAGTGGCAATGAGGCTGATAATACCAGTCCTATTTGTTAAATATTAGTAAATATCTGAGAAATAGAAATCTACAGAAACTTTTGACATTTAGGCGTGAATATTCACAATATCAATTCTACAAGGGAAAAAATTTCTATTATGAAAGCATAAACTTTAACACAAAAATAGACCTTAGAACACTTCGTGGAATTAAATTTCAAATAGTTATAGACATAATGTTTGTTCATACTAAAAATAATTATTTGATTACACAAAAAGAGCCCGTTTGTTCATATTGAACATATTTATTTTTTTCTCTAATTTCTAGTCACTGAACATTTATACTTTCCTCAATATACTAATTACCTGCAACAATATATTTAAGTAGTGAAAGCAAGAATAATATTTGTAAAGTAATTTAAAAGTAGCTTTTCAAAAAAATATCCCAACATATACTATTTAAGAATTAATAATTTATCTGAAGTGATATATATAATCATAAGCAGGTATTCAAGGCTTAAAATGATTCAGTATAAAAATACAGGTCTAAACCGACAAAAAGTAAAGTTACATTAAAAAAAAAAGAATATTATGGTAATTACAGTTTAAAAATTCTAAGGGTAATTTACAGTTTTTCTGCTCAGTCTTATCTAGAAATGAAGTTAAGATAAAAGCTTTTATGTTTCTTTATAACTCTTTCTGTACTATAAATTTTTAATAAAACATTTCTCTTCACAAATATTTTTAAAAGATTATTCCAATAACATTTTTTTCCTTCATGTCTTTCCTCTTAAATTTAAACACAATTTTTGATAATGGCATTCGAAATTTAGCACGAGATTCTGGTTTTTCCAAAAAGCAAACAAACATACATGCGACCGTCATCTGACATAAATATAAATAATGTGTTTACGAATCACGAAAATGCCGACAATGATAAAAGCCAGCATCGCCTGGGGAGAAAAATATTTACACAACTGTCGTGTCAAGCGTGAAACTCAGATAATTCTATCTGGTGTTATGACTTTTCCCAAACAACTTGACAAAATACAGTTGTGCCAGGGGGCTTGGCAAATGCATTTCCTTCGAAAAACACTTTTTTTAAAAAAAATAAAGTACCAAAGAAATTTAATAAAATGGCAAACAACAGTTCTTTCACTTACCTATAGTCTTGAGCATTTCAAAATCGTCCAGTTTGACATCCGGAATGAGATGATCATCAGGAGGTGGAGGAGGTGGTTCCTTTTTCTGGAAGGACCCACTCCTTTTGCACTTTTCACGACTTACTTTCGATGATGCCATTGTCAGCAAATGTTATGGGCATGCTTCATAATGAGAAATACTATTCCATTATGGTCCTAAATCTTGCTGATAAGATTTCCCCTCTCAAAATATAAACTTCGGTGGTTGATTAGGTAGATGCCTTTATTAGCCAACTTATACAGAATACAGAGTCTGCGAGAACACGTTTAAAAAAGAACAGATATCACTATCAGGATGTGGTAATAAGCATACGGAAATCTCTTATTCAGATCAACAAGACAAAACTTTGTTGTACTCACGTTTGTTGCTAAAATTTTCAAACACTCTGTCTCAAGTACTCGTATTTCAAACAGAAAAATATCTTAAAATTCTTAATTTAGAGCAAATTGCGCATTTAAGTCGATGTGTTTTTTAGGATTTTAGTTCGATTTGTCACTGCTTGAAGGTTTTTTGAAACTAAATAAATATATCTGCAACGTATTTTAAAGTAGCTTCAAGAGGTTTAAGTTGGGTGTCTTTTTTTTTTTTTTTTTTTTTAATGAAACCCAAAGATATATCCAACTGTAGAAAGAGAAGAACAGACTAGTCAGCAGCGTCTATCCATCCACCTGGTGCCCTGGATGTGGTCTAAAAACAGAAGGCTTGAAACAGCTCAGCACAACTCCGAATCTAATTAACCGAGTAGTTCAGAAAAGAAAGGACACTGATTAGAAATCTGCACATTCACCTGGAGGAGTAAATACGGATCTGCGGAGCAGCAGCGCGCGAATGCTTCAACTTCCGGGTTCACCTCCGAAGTAATATGGTGCCAAAACTTGCTTCGGTTCTTGAGTCAGTAGGAGCTCACTGATTGGCGGCTGACGTCACGTGAACTCTTTTTGTTTTCGTTGACTTTTTCCTTCCTCTACTTTTTATTGTAAAACAAGGCAGCCGCTAAAGGGTCGCCATAAAACAAGTTTCTAAAACGGTGAAAAAAGGGTCTAGTAACTGGAAAAAGTGAAGGTAACCTGACCGAAGCCACGGATGACGTAATGGGAAAAAGGGCTATATTTTTTCTTTTCTCTCCCTCCCCCATTTTTGGATGCACGTGCTGTCTGCTAAATTACGGTCTTGCTTTTCGAGTCCCCCCCCCACAACCTCTGTCTTTCGAATTATTGGAACAGGATGATGTACTGAAAAGTACAGAAAAGAAACTGAACAATGCAGAATTTGTTTCGGTTCTGAAGCAGAATAGAAACCAAAACTAAACGGATGCATATATGTACGGAGAGATCTAATTAATTCTCTAAAAATGCAAATACTTCCCGATTTGCGCGTTTAAACATTTTGGATCTGTTAAGTTACAAACATCGGAAAGGTTTATTTCAAAATTAAATCCAACTTAGAACACGTAAATGTCGTTTTATTCTGCTTCAGCTTTAATATGTCGTATATTTTGCTGTTATTGGCAAATCGAACAATTTGTGGTAATTTTGCATGAAATCAATCGTTGCCATTTTCAAAGTGTATTTTCTGGCTTTTTGTCTGGGTAATAGAGATTTCACAATTTCAAAATTTTACATTATGAAAAAATGTAAAATTTATAAAAATTATAATTATTAAATAAATTTATATAAATTATTTAAAAAATTAATATATAATAATATATTATATTAAATAAATTCACATTGTTTCAAAATTTATTATTATGTCGCAATTGGACCTAATAACGATCAGGATGTTCTTTAAATTTCCTGGACAATGTTGTATTTAGAAGATTATTGTGTAATTTTTGTTTCTTGTTAAATTTTTCTGCTTCTCGGAATATACTTTCTTCTTTTTTAATGCAGCGCATTTTCTATAAATTTCATATACTTAATGCGAAGATAATTAATTTTAGGACCATTTCAAATGTGTTCATTAGTATTATATTAAAGACCATCAATAATTTATATTAACCTAATTTTAAAGGAAGAATTGTGTCTCTTTTTTTCAAACAAAAAGCTAAAAGCACAGATCTTAGAAGGATGTATTGCGTTGACCAATAAGTTCTGGGATATTTTTTTTTTGAAGGGCTATTATTCTCGAAACGAGATTTTGCGTTGAAATACTATAAAAGTCTCAATCACTTTTCAAATTGTTGCCACCAAATATTATCGCCCTGTATATTTAAAGAAATTAAATAATTGAAATTAAAGAATTGCATAAATGGATGCGTATGCAGGCTTTTCGCGTTGTGAAAAAATAACGGTACATAGAGCCATCAAATTATGAATAACGTAGTCCTCCACCCGAATATGGACACCTGGAAACCCGAATTTCGGATTTGTTTTATTGTCTATTTCATATTTTGTAAAACCTTTAACGCATTTTTTATTACCATTCTAAATTATTTCAAACAGAGAAATGCCAACACTGTACGGGAATATAAAATTTTATCTATAGCGCGCGTGATTACCTACCGTAAATTCTAAAGATATTCTGTTTAAAAATAGTTTAGATCAAAGGAACATTAGCCCAAATGCTCCCGAAACGTGTATGTGTACGTAAGTGGAAAAAAAAAAAAAAAAAAAAAAAAAAAAAAAGACTCTTTGGGCGTACTATAATAATAACAATTCATTATTATTATTGTTACGGTTTTTGTATTTAGTTAGCTATTTTTTGTAGAATTGTAACTAAAATTGTTTTATATCCCTGTGCAATGCAGCACGAGACTTATTTTAAGAGAAAGCTAAGCCGGAAAAGTAAAAATACAGGCGCGCGTGCATTTGACATTTAATAAGTAGGTATCTTGTAATTCTACTCTTTTTCTTTCCAGAAATTGCTAGAACCGTCTCGAGCGGCCGTTTTAAAAAGCTGTAAAAGCCACACAGAAAAAACATCCCAGTTCAGTTGTTTACTTAGTTGCTGTTATTGATTGTAGCGAATTCGCAGATTAGCTTTCTCTAAGCTCTGGATTGCATTCTATTTAACGTTTTATTAGTTTAAAAATATAGCTACTGCGTGGTATTGTGATATTGTTGCGAGCGTACGGGTTCGTTATGAATTGAATGCACAAGTCCTATTAAAAATGAACAAAAATTATTATTATCACAACAAATAAAACAAAATGCCTAAATTTCCTCAGATATTCGTACAGAATTACAATATCTCACACTAATTATCTTTTCACTATTCAAACGTTCAACAGAACTTAATTCAAAACAGCTAGAGAAAGCTAATCCGCGAGTTCGCCACAGTCAACAAGAGCAGTTTTCTAAACAAACTCTTAAAACAACAACTAACTACTGACTGAATGGAGAGATTTTCCTCCTTTTTATAAGATTTTAAATCGCGCGAGAATTTTCTGGTATTTTCTCGAAATGGAAAAGAGATATTTATTTATTAAATGTTAAATGCATGCGCTCTTGTATTTTTAATTTTCTGGCTTAGCTTTCTTTAATATTCGTCACGCGCTGCACTGACACGGGGAAAAAACAATTAATTTATAATTCAACTTATATCAATATTAGTTATTTAATACCAAATCCGTAACACTGCCCCCTTCCCAGGACTGCACCTCCCGGGCAAAATCCCTGAAACAGGAAGCCAAACTTAAAAGCATAAAATGCCATAATAAGTATCCATTACAATAACAAACAACATGAACAATAAAGCCTTAAACAAAAGGTAAATACTTTCAAACAAATAAAAGTAAAAGCAAATAAAAAAATACAAAAAAGTAATAAATACAAATCAAATACTAAATACAAGTCAAATAAAATACACATTTAGAAACAAAAAGGATCATGGTCTTAGACTATTTACAATTAATTACACTACGTACTATGGCCATAGTAATGAGCTAACCAGTCGTAATGAACGACTTTAGATTTAGAGTTCGAAGATTCACGTATCCGAACCACGACGTCATTCAACCTGTTTAGGACTGTGTGCGGAGCATCCTAAGGTGACTGTAATTTAGGCCTGACTCCTTTTCGTCGAATCTGGTTCCACAACCACACCTTGTCTCCACCGTCGAATTTATGTCCAGTCGCTCTTGGGTCGCATCTGTTACCACTAAATGATCTGGATGAGCTGAGGCACAGTAATTTTACTCCTCCTTCTTGCCGAAAGAGCATAAATAATGGTCTCCCGCAGGTGTTGTAACTCTAGGTCTGCCTGGTCTTCTAGACACAGAATCCTCGGATTCAAACTGATTCCAGAGTCGGTGGACTACACTACAAGAGACATTGAGACGTCTAGAAGCATCAGCTTGTGATATCCCCATTTCCATCCATCCGATCGCTGGCCATTTCAATAAATCGGACAAACGACTTCTCCTATATATTGATAGACTCTCCTGGATATTGTCCACGAAACTGTAATAACAATTTAAGATGAATGCTCATGAACAAAAATTACAATTTTTGCATTTTTTTCTCCGACTCCTATATAAGTATCCATTCCTATAAAATAAAAGCAGTAGCTATTGTTTTTTGCATGTATTTTTGATAAACTTCGTTATTGTCATACATATGAACTGCGAATTTAAACGTTACTGACATTTTTAGAATGGTGAGTTTTAAAAAACATGCTGTTCCTTAACTTCTGAAGGACAGTGGGGCATGACATGCAGTGCTTTGCAAAACTGAACAATTTTCTAATGGAAAATTAATTGAATTTAGAAATTAAAATGAATTGAAAATGAATTGAATGAATTGAATTGCTAAAAACATCTTTTTAGTTTGAAGAACGTATCAGAGAAAATATTTCCCAGAGGAAAAACTAAGTATGACTGGATACGAGTACTACAATAGATCAGAAGGCTTGCCAACGAAGGAAATGGAACAGATTATCGATATATCAACCGACTTGACTTTGAAATAATCTAAGTTTAAGCGAAAACACCTCCTAAAATTGTGGTTGTAAATTGATGCAAATTGTGTAGAAATTTCTCAAGAGATGTGAAAACATTAATGTCATTCAGAACAATTTATTTAAGTGAAAAATCTTTCTTAACGTATGTAGCAACAAAAACAAAATATAGAAACCAATTAAAAGCAGAATATGATATAAGACTGCAGATAACATCAACAGAATTAGATTTCGAGAGTTGGTGTAAAAAAATGCAAGCACAGCGCTGTCACTAAATACAATGCAAGTGTTGGTGACACCTGGAGTACGAGTTAATGCTATCAACGAGTAAATTACATTTAGATTATGTTAAAAGTTAAAAAAAATATAATACTTTTCTTTAATTAATTTGCATAAAATACCAGTAACATATTGATCTACTTTAAATATCATTTTCAGATATATTTTTCGAAGTCTAAAATGGAATTCCTCGAAAAACCTTAGAATTCTAAGGATTCCATGAACAAATGGTCCACCAGCGGCCGAGTGGTAAATGTCGCTGAACACCGGTAGTTCGGAACTTTTAGTTCGGTTGAATTTCAGGTGAACGATCTGGTTTACATGGGTTTCCTCGTGGCGCTCGTGGTTTTCCTTGTATAACGTGTAGCAAGTTGGGTGGGTCGGTCTGCATCCATTTCTGGTACTTTATTCTCTCCCTCTTTTCTGCATCGCTTCGAGGTGTAACGATAGCACACGGGGCGTATATTCGATAGGTCCTGGTTCGAGCCCAGGCGAGAGCATTGCTCATTTTTCATGTCTTCTGCTTAAAATAACCTAATGCTCTACAACCTTTACTTTTAATCAGCCTAGAGAAAACAAATTCTGCGACCGTGAAGTTTGGCGAGTGTGATTAGAAGTTAAATTCTAAAAACTGTGAGAAGTACGCGATTGCCAAAAATGTCGGTCAAGAGACTCACTGTTTGTCCTTGCAAATAA